ATGGAAAAACTAGTTTGTGGGAAAGGAAATGACTCTAATAAAACACTTGAGTCATCTATTCAGTCTGTCACTCATTCTGGCCGGTATTTGCTGAGTCTTGCTACACCAAGTATAGATTTTTAGAAATGAGCAGAGCCATGTTCTGGTTCTAAAGACACAGATTCATGGGATGAGAGAAATGAGTGGGCATTAAACTAGCCCTGTGACATGTACATCATGTGAAAGAGAAGGGCAATGTAGCTCTTCAAGAACAAGGTGGAGGGGTCAACAGAAAAAGAGGCAGGCAGACAGAGGGTACACATATGCAGAGATGAAGAGCTGGGATCCAGCTCTGGAACCATTGGCAGTTGGATACACCTCTACTGTGAAACAGCACAGGAAGCAAAGACTGACAGACAAGCCTGGGCCTTTCACCAGAGCTTATTTGAGGCTCAGTGATGAGCGTACAGTTGAATGAATGAGTATCAAAGAGCAGAACTGAGAGTCCCAGGTGAGAAGTTTGTCCTGAAAGTGAGAAGCTTTGTCCTGGGGGTGGTGAAGCTAATGGGCGTGACAGTGTCCTGACAGTGATGAGGAAACATTGAAATATTCCTTGCATGTGAGTGGTCATCACAAGGCATTTCCCGACACAGTTTTTAAAATTTTAATTTCTCAATACACTAATTACTTTAGGTACTTAATTCTCACATTTTACAGTCCATAGAAATGCTGGGAATCAAACTGAGGCTTCCAGCCACATTGGGGAAAGTATTTTCCCTGAAACAAGGTCAGGGGAAGAAATAGCAATAATTTGAGCCTGAAGCTTCAGGTTCCTAGAAAGTCTATCCAACTTTACCCTTAAAGCCACCTCATTTATAATAAAAGCTTCCCATAAATAGACATGGAGCTAGGTCAGCCAGCTATACAAGAGGCATGGTGTTGTATACAAAGAGCACTGGAGGAGGAATCAGGAAGGCCATTGTCTTCACTCTGAGTTTATTGGTAGTGGGTCCTTATGCAAGTCCCGTTCTCTTCTGGGACTTCCTTTCATTATGGGCCACCCATAATGAAGATTCAAAGTTAGAGGATGACTCAAGACTTTAAGTTCACATCATTGTTGGACCTCAGTTTGCTTCAGAGAGAGGATGGCAGAACCAAGCAGAGAGCCTCTGACACTCTTCTTGATCCTCTGAGAAAGACAGGTCTGACTATTTCTGTTTCTCTCTCTCTCTTTCTCTCTCTCTCTCTCTCTTTCTCTCCCTCCCCCACCGCTGCCTCCCTCCCTCTAGTATAGGTTTGCATATGGTATATAGATCTGTCTATCTGTCTCTGTCTCTCTCAGTCTGTCTTCACTCCCCTTCCCTATATCAAGGGCTGCTGTACTCCCGCCTCCTTACAAGGAGCCCCTCCAGGCCCAGCCTGATCCCCTAACAGCTTTCAGATGTGTCTCTGGAACAGTTCTACAATTACAGCTGAGACAGGCAGAAAGCGCATGGCCTTGTGACTTTTGACCCAAGCCTGTGAGGTTGACATCTTCCTCTTTCTCCTCCACCCCCACCTCAGGCAGGGTGGCCCAAGGTCTCCTCCATTCTGAGGCTTCCAGTCACATGTTTGGTGGCTACAATAACAAAAATGGAAGCAACATTTTAAGCAGCGAAGATTGAACATTGATGGCTATACCACTGAGACTTGATCCTCAGTTTAAGGGATATGGATAATTCCACCTTACTTTACAAGTGAGAAGACAGAGGTTTGCAGAAGGTTACTTGACTTCCAAAATAATGCTCAGCCTGCTATTGGAGAAAGGATTTTATAAATTAAAAGCCTAAGACAGCTTCTTCCCTAGTATGAGCATGGTGTTGTTCATGCTGCTTGGTGAGGCTGACAGCTGGCCCTGGATCTCCTAATTGAGGAACTGTTTTATAGATGCACCACTGAAACCTAAGTGGCCAGTGGGAAGCACTGTTAAACAGTATTCCAAGACTATGGGCTTTGAGGCTCCATCATATTTTACACTCATTATTGTTCTTCCATGGATCCCTCAGTTGAAATGTATGTCCTTCTCTTTAAATTCCAAGAAAGCATTTTTTAAAATGTGTGTTCTTGCACAAATAAATGCTGTATATATTGCCTGTATAAAAATCTGCAGCTACCAGCCACATCCTCCTCCATCACTGCCTGTCATCCATGAGATAGCCATGCCATGCGCTACCTGTAAAATTGTCCCCACTTTATTGATGAAGAAACAAAACTTGAGAAATGTCATGAAGTATGGTCCAGTTCATTCATTTAAAAAATATTTATTGACTGCCTGTCATGACTAGTAATGTGTTAAATGACACCAATATAGCTGTACACAAGCTGGATACTCTCTGGACCTGAAGGCTAGGACTGGACACTGCCTCTGCCACTTTCTAGCTGAATTGGTGTGTAGATGGTAAGCACCTACACGATGTTATCCAAAATTGCTCTTGTTCCTTTACTTAGCCTCTTGCCTACTCCAACATTCCAGAGTTTTGTTCGTTGTTGTTGTTGTTTGTTTGTTTGTTTCATTTTGTGATCTTGTTCTCAACCTTTCTGTGTGGCTTTCCAGTGATAACTCCCTATGAAAAGTATTTACGTTTCTTATCCATCTGCACTGATCCAGTGAGGTGAGTGATAGTCTCTCTGTCACACATGCCTGGTACAGAGAAAGAAATGAGCTCAGAGAGGTGAAGCGATTTGCCCCAGTTCACAGAGCAAGGGAATAGAACTACAATATGTGCGCAAGCGTCAACATCTCCAAGACCAGGCTCCTTCCTCTGCCACTCTCTCTTCCTTTTGTATTAAGAAGTTTTGATGCATGGGAACTTTTATAAAAATAATTTTTGAGGCATGCGATCACAGCATATCAAAGCTCATACCACCCTCTAAGCCAGTGATCAGTACAGCTAAAGCAGGAAAATGGCAGCTGAATGCAAGAAGTACAGGTTTTAGGGAAAGACACACCCAAGGCTGCTCTATTTCATTTCTGAATCTGTGACTTTGGACAGATTTTGTATGCTTTTATCTTCAGTTTCCTCTTGTAAAAGATGGGAGGAATGAAGGTGATTATTTTAGTGTGTTTTCATAAGGTCAGAAAAATGTATGAGGTGGAACTGCCTCAACACAGTTGGTGTTTAGCAGGTGCAGCTGAGAAATTGTACGTGTACAATTGGGATCTGCAGACCTGTGAACAGAATTCAGTAGTGGATTTAGTGCATGGGCACTGGAGTTGGACAATCCTAGGTTCACATTACCATCCTAGTAATTTACTATGTGATTCTGGTTATAAAATAGAGCAATACTATCTACCGTTTAGGGTTGCTTAGAGGAATTCACTGTGATGATCTGGACAAAACTGCTTAGCTCAGTGCTTGATACATATTAAAATCAGCATATATTAATTTATATGCAACTCATATTTACTTAGTGCTTAATATGTACAGTCAGTCAGATCTCACCATTCTGACACTTGGCAATCATAGCATCATGCTCATTTTATAACATACATTAAATTAGGTGCTTAGGAAGTAGGAAAGGAAATAGGGGCTCTAAACTCAAACTCTTCTTAACATAGGAAACCCTCCCGCCACTCCACACTATTGTCCCTACCATTAAAAGCAGATGGAAGAGGAGGGCACAACAAGGACAGGCCATTCATTTGTACAAAAGGTGTTCCTGGCCTCTTAACTCCGCTGGAAAGTTTTCTCTGCTTCCTCCTTAGACTTTGTAGAAACTATGAAACTCAGACATCTGGGCACAGAGACTCCCCCAAGTAGACAGAGCCTGCTCTGGAAAGAATTCCGTGCTCTAGATTAGACCTGAACCCACTACATGACCAGTTCTCTACATGACCGGTCTCCCTTTCTGAAAGCATACAGGCTATGTCTATTCCTGCCAACACAGTGTTGGGCTTCAGATGATGTCATAGGGAGGTGGGGACATGTTCTCTGGCTAAAATGATTCTGAGACTGTTTGTCACAGCCTGCAAGGTTCCCACCAGTCCTCTGCCTCACCTCATTTTACCGTAGCCACACTCGGTGTCTAGTCCTCCAACAGTCTGTGTTCCCTTTCTTCTCCAACCCTTTCCACTTACTGACCTTCTTCTTGCCTAGAATGTTCTTCCCCCAGGTCTTCCTTCTATTGCTGGTTCTTTCTCATTATTCAGATCTCAGCTCAAAATTTCCCTCTTCAAGAAGGCCTTCATCAACTACCTTGTGTAAAGGTACTTCCCCCACAACCGTATTTATATTTTTCACATTATCCTGTAACATTTTTCCTCATCCTCACTACACCTAAGCTTCTGTCACCATGTTCATTATTTGATTGTCTGTTTACTTTTTGATTAGTCTTATACCAGCAAGGAACTTGACTTTCTTGTTCACGTTTAGAAGCTTAGGACCTAAAATAATTGATTGCACATAGTTAACACTCAGTAAGTACTGTTGAGTGAGTGAATGAATGAGTGAACAAATGAGAGAACATATAAACAGTTGTATCCAGACAAAAAAATAGCATTGAGACTCACTTCTTAGGGCCTAGGGTTAGATGGCTTGAGTTCAAACCCCTGTTCTGTCTTTCAGTAACTATGAAAAGATGCACAGAAAGATGCACAGTATCATCATTGATGAAATGTGGTTAATAATAAGTCTTTTAGGCTTGATAAATTGTAAATTAGGTAATTAAGGGTGAAGTGCCCAGCAGGCATTCAGTGCTCAATAAATGCTTTATAATTGCCATTCTTTTTTAAAAAATTTATTTTGCAGCTTGAACATTCCTGAGGCTTTTTGGGGGGATTTGGGGGGGTTTTTTTGGTACTGGGGATTGAACTCGGGACCTTACATCTGCAAGGCAGGCACCGGAGCCACTGAACTAAATCCCTGGCCCCATTCCTGAGTTTTTGACCAATACTCCCGTGTCATCATTTTGTGTTTCTCCCTCCAACTCCCAGGGCCTTCTGTGAAGTCTCAGCACAGTGCTGTTTTCTTGCTGTGCTACAGGTTCACTCTGTATGCTGTGGATACGCGGGGGAGGCACTCAGAACTCAGCACAGTGACCCTGAGGACAGCCTGTCCACTGGTGGATGACAACAAGGCGGAAGGTTGGTGACCCCTTCTTCACTTCCCAGGTTGAGTCTCACATTTCCACTCTCTTAAGTCATATATCCAGAAGTCACTAATTACCAAGCACACACTACTGGCACAGAGAGAAGGAAGCAAAGGAGCTAAGGCAGCAAGAGGAACATAGGACCCATAAAGGAAACAATAGAGACTAACAGTAATTTTGCCAGTGGAAATATTTGTTCTTCATTTATACTTTGACTGTATTCTGACTAGGTAGGAATGGTAGCGGGCCAGAGTTCCTTAGCCTAAAACTTTCATAGAGATCAATTACTTTTTTCCACTTAAATCTATGCTGGAGCTATCAAATAGGTGGTTCCTAGACGACTATTCCCTTTTTTGTGCCCTTGACAGACATGATTAGCTGATCACCACACATAGTCCCATCCAGCCCACTGATGGCCTTGGAATCCTCAACATAGAGATACTGTAAGTGGCTATCAGTAAGAATTTGCATGCAAGATTAAATCTTTTTGCTACCCCCAGTCCCTGAGGTTGTAAACATTAGGGGGAAAAAAACACCTGAAAAGATGCAATCAGTCAAGCAGATCTACCAGATCTACCACTTAGGCAATGAGTAGATACAGTTTCTATATCTAGATTGGCAGTATGTGACAATATCAATGAGTCCTGGTGGTCTACTTTAAATTGAGTAAATTCTTCCCTGAAGCCCCCGTCCAAGTGATACAGTAGAAGCAGGCCTATACCTTTTAAGATTTCACACTCTGGTTGGAGAGATGGACATTTCCACAAAGGGCTCAATGAGAAGCTTGGAAATAAATGTTTTATGTGATGTAGACAAGAAAACAGGGATCTTGTTTTAATCTTAATTATTTTAAAGTGATATATGCACATGGTTAAAAACTGAGAACAAATACAAATTAGAGTGGAAAATAATACAAAGTGTTTTTCCCATCCTGACCCTAATTCTGCTAGATTCACCTATGGGCAATTATCTTTAGTAATGATTAGTGGATACACATAGATTTTTATCAGAGCCTCCAAGGCTGAAGAAATGTACCTTCTGCTCAGGATAAATTTGAGCCTCATTTAGTAAGAGTGACTGAAGGAGAAGAAATGGCCCTGAATGACAAGCAGAAAAGTCTGGATTTCCTTTAAAAGGATTTTGAATGGGATCTATCAGAACTGATTACAGAAACGTATTAGAGATATTAGTGAAGTTGAGGGAGGATGTGGAGATGAGCCAAATCAATTAATTTAAACCTCTGCATTTGTTTGGATCCTCCTATTAAATCACAAGCACAATAATATCAGTAATAAAACCTGTGACTATTAAGTTTTTGTACCATACTCTGTGCTGAATACTTTACATTCACTCTTTAATTAGTTTCCCAAAGCACCTCCAGAGTAGACTGTATCATATTTAGTTAGTATATAAGAAAACTGCACACAATCAGTCAATGATATAGTCAGGATGGAATTACTATTTGTCTATTCTCAAAGACCATCCAAGGGAACTCCCAGACGACCATGACTTCCTTGTCACCAGCTATGCTTTTGTCTTCACTTGTTGCAACTGTGCAGTGATCTTTTCTTGTACATCTTCCCTCTCAGAGATAGCCGACAAGATATACAATCTGTACAATGGGTACACAAGTGGAAAGGAGCAGCAGACTGCCTACAATACGCTGATGGAAGTCTCAGCCTCAATGCTGTTCAGAGTCCAGCACCACTACAACTCTCACTATGAAAAGTTTGGCGATTTTGTCTGGCGCAGTGAGGATGAACTGGGACCCAGGTATGGGATAAGGGTTGTGAGTTGAGGGGCAGATTCTTCTGCTTCCAGTTGATTCTAGTGGATCTTTTCCTCATCAACTGACAATGGACTTTGTCAAATAAATAAGGGTGGTGATCAGCAGAGTTATGTCAGGTCTAAACATGGGAAAGAGGCAGAGAGATTTACTGCTTACTGGAAATATGTTTGAATAGAAAACACTATCATTTTATAAAGGGAAAACCAGAACCATCTACCCTTAGTAGAAAATTAAATCTAGTCATTGTTAAAATAAGTCAATACAATAGAAAAGCAACAACAGAAATTGAAGGAAACAAAAATGCTCAATCATAGCAGAGCCTGAGGCTGTCCCTATAAAAGGGAGATTAACAACAAGGGAAGTGTTAAAGACACAGCCCCAAGCCAAGATATTTTTTGAAAGTTATCTGAAGGAGGGGAAGAGAATGAAGGAGGTAATCTAACCACTTTTACAAAGTTGATTCATTGTTTTTCAATATTGGGTTTGCAATTACCTTGAGTATCACCTCAAATCCTTTCCTCTACCCCAGAGAAACTCCTTCTACATTTCAGAAAGCACTGTGTTTAGAGGAACTAAAGAATTTCCGTGTATTTGCAGCAAAGTGTCTGACAGCAGGAGAGGTAAGAGATAAGGCAGAGGTCACCAGGGGCCAGATCTTGAATGCCCTTTAAGTAGAGTTAAGCAGTTTGGATTATCTCCCTAGGGTAATAGCTTTTCAAGTGTTTTTGCTCTGAGAGGGGAGAGGCTAGAGGGTGGGAGGGACCTTCAAGATATAAAGATCACTCTGGCTTCAGTGGGAAGCAAGGGATGCAGTGAGGCCCTAAATGCTGCTGGGATAGTCCCAGGGAGGCAGTGTAACATCCTCAGCTGGCTGGATAACATTAGTGGCACTGGAAGAAGTGGAAAGAATTGGTGACTTCCTGAAATAGTGAGTGGATGACACTATGTGTTTTAAACACTTCCAAATGAAGATGTAGGACCCTCATCTTATATTTCGGATGATGAGGAAGTGGTGGTCCCTTGGGGCTGTGTGAGCTGCGGAGAGATGCTCAGTTTGGCCTGGAAGTTGGTTCTGCCTTGAACTCTCACTCTGAGCCCTTAAAACACTTGGAAAGATCTTCTGAGAATTTGAGGCCCTTGAGGGATAAGATGAGATGAAATGAGAGCTTAGTTAAATGATAAAAGGGATCTCCCCAGGAGCAGGCTTTATGAGTTCTGTTGGGTCCTGTACTTTAACTCTCTCCCTTTCACATGAAAGGAAGGTTCTTTAGATAAAAGCTAAAAGAAGTGGACTGGCAGGCAGAAACACAGAGCCCCAGATGAAAGTCTCTGTGTTAGTCATCTTGGCTGCCATCTTGCCCATGAACCAATAAGGTATTCCACTTTATTGGGCTTTCCCACAGGGTTTAGGGAGTATGGGTACAAGTTAAACCAGAGCTCCATTCCTGACGTTGTCTTTACAACCTGCTAGGATCCTTTATGACCCACCCAGGCATAAATCTTCCAGAAATGGCTCCTGGCTGCCCAGAGAGACAGAGCAACCCACCCGGTAGTGGATTGTGATGACTCACTGCCTCCCGTCAGCCTGTACCCAACCACTGTCCACCAACCCAACCCATGACGCCCACCATCTTCCTTCCCTGGCCTTTCTAGCCTCCCAGAAGGGATCTGAGATTGCCCCAACATCCCACATTCTCGTGTCAGCAAGAATTTAAAAAGTGGCATCCTAATCCATCTTGGTCCTGTTAATAAACTCACTGCGCAACTGTGTCCTTGCCCCTTTCTGGCCTTAAATCTTATCTATAAAATGATCTGGATAAACTAATGGAGCCGATTCTTTTTATCAGTGGAATTATTTTTTCCGTATACCTTTCATAGAACCTGAAGTCTTAGATACAATGCCACCTTCTCGGAGAATTCCCTAAAATGTCTGCCCACTTGATCGTTTCAGCATCATGTTTTAATTCTCTCCCTGAACTCACTGGTTTTAGTGCCTATAGCTTACGGGTATACTTATGCATTACTTCTCTTCCCACTACCATGTAAGTTGTACATGATTACTGAAGTTACAAGCTATTCATTTTTTATTAGTACATGTTTGTAATGCACAATGATTCCATTAATCGTAGGGAGTTGGTGCATGGACATAATCCACTTTTATTCCTTTTTCATCCCTTTGCCATTTGTCTCTAAAGTAAAAAACTCCTAATTTATAAAGTTCCATTTTGCACTGCTGGCTACTAGTTTTGAAAGTAGGTGCTAAATAATTACTTGCGGAACAATTGGCTAATGGAAGGAGTCTGTAAATGTGAGGACCAGAGGGTTACATAGTCATTCTCTAAAGGCAAGAATGGGTACCTAGAGCACCACTTGCTGGGTCTCTCCTACACTCCCCTATCCTTCCAACCCCAGGAATTCCTTAAGTCTCTCTGAGCTCTCAAGGATCTGTAGAGCACAGGTGGAAACAAATGAATTCTGTGAAACCTAAGGTCACCTAACAATCTAAAAAAAAATGCAATGTTCTTGCAAATATTTAGAGAACTGGAGAAACCTTACTTCCTTAACTGACTCTGTGTCAGGCCCTGTGCTGGGGACTGGAAATAAGAGAATGAAGAAGATCATGACTCGCCCATACAGACCATCATCTAGTGAGGAAAGACTCATCAGCAGACTGTTGCAATGGAACAGGACACATGCTATAAGGAGGAGTATGGAAGGATGTTTTGGAGAAGTGATTTTCAATTGTTAATGTGTATGAGAATCTACTGGGGACCCTGTTCAAATGCATTGACTTAATGGTAGGGGACAGACCTGAGATTCTAAAGTCAGCACACATTCTCAGATATTGCCAATGTTGCTGGTTCAGAAAACACACTTAAAAGCATTTCCAATGCAGGTAGCTAGAGGAGTCAGTCCAAATCTGGAGCTCAAGAAGAATCTCTGGAGAAGAAGAGTGGCTAAGGCTTATAATCAAACAGTGTACAGGAGTCTTTCCGGTGAAAGGGGAAGGATGTTTTCATCAGAAGGAACAACCAGTGCAAAGATGAGGAAGGTGAAGTAAGACAATATACTTTAGTAAGGAACTATTAAAAAATCATTGGAGTGGGGAGTTCAAGTTGAGAGAAAAAGGAAAGTGAAAAGATTGGAGAGTTTACTAAGGGTCAGATCATGGTGACTTCTGTAAGTCATTTTAAGGAGTTTGTCCTATCTCTTTCCTAGAACCCATGCAAAGGTTTTTAAAACAGGAAGACTGAACAAATTTGCTCTGCTTCTGAAGGGTTAGCAAGTGTGCAGAATATGAAAGTGTAAAAGAAAGAGAGCAAGATACTTGGGTGCCCCAGCTTTGTCACCTACTTACTGTGGACAAATTCCATCCTCATTCTGAACTCATTTATAACATAAAAGAAAGAGCTTAACTCCAAAGCCTTTTCCAGCTGGGAAACCAAGGAACCAGAAAACCTGAAGGTCCTTGAGATGGAGAGCAGACACACAATGAGTGACCTTTTACCACCAGCCCTAGCACATCCTGTTTCTCAGTGACCTAGGTTGACTAGGGTTTTTCCAGGAGCAAACTGAGGCTTGATATCATGGGATGAACTTTACTAGGATTCTCTTAGCCTATGTAATGACCAAACTCCAAAATGTTCTCAACTCCTCCCTGATCTGTGGTTACATATCCCCATATAATTGAGTGACAAAAGGGCATATCTTACCTCTGTCTAATAAATCTATCAGACCAGTGTTCCCCAGAGCCTGGTTTTCATGACAACTATAGGTTACTGCAAACAGCTGCTCAGAGAAGACCTGCTGACACCCAGCTGTTCCGGCCATAAAGTTCCTATTAGGAGATTGAAAAACTGAGCTCATAGGTGGCCAGCAACCAGAATTTGCTCGGGTCAGAGCATCCTTGGCCACTTTGGGGCTTCTGTAACTTTTCAGTTATGTTTGATCAAATTGATAGAAGAGAGCAAGTGCTTGAAGAGATTTTTTTCAGTAAAATTGATCTATCCAGACTAGGAATGATAAATTTATACTGTCAGTCCCTTTTGCTTCCATAGCAGACATTACTAACAGATCCCAGAAATGATCACAGGCTTGGTTCAGCCTGAGATCGTTCTCAACATAGTGAGACAAGGCACCTTTCCTCTTTGAAATTAACACACCCATTGCTGCAACCTTAGTGAAAATAAACAAACCTGGGATAAACCTGTACATTTTTTCATGATTGTATTAGCTTCTTCCTTCGATTAACTCTCTTGAAACCTTGGATTAACTTCCTGGGTATCTTGGGTTAACTCTCTTGGAATTTTTATGATACTTGGAAAAAGAGCAGGCTTAGGCTTCTGAAGCTATATTCCTGTAATCTCAGATACACTTTCATTTTTTATGCATATATTCACATTTTTGAAATGAGAATTGCTGTTATTAAATCACATCTCATATCTAAGCTTAGAATGGGGAAACACTAGCTAGCAAAGCACACTATGAGTCTGAACAAGTGTCCTCTGGATCTGTTTCCTCACTGATTAGTTATCATCTTGGAATCCCTCAGCCCCAGCTGAAACAGTTTTGAGTTAGTCATTCTTCCATCAGTCAAGAAATGAATTATTGAAAAGGTCCCGAGGTTTCATATGAAGAAATGAAGATGAAAGCAAGGCAGATATAAACATTCTTGCTAGTTATTTTACACACCACATTTCAAACCTGATGTTGCAGACACATATCCACAGATAGTACCTGAGTTTCTGACTTTCTGTTTTTTGAAGGGTAATCTGAGACTAAAATTTTAGTGTAGGTTTATTCTGAAAATAATCCTAGTTAATGGGGAAACCATAAAGCCATGGTTACATTACATAAATTTACCACACTAGCTTTAATATATGTGTGTTTGTTTTCAAAATGGGAATACCTTGTTTCATTTTGTTCTGAAATAATTCTTGCTCATTCTATAGCATACAAATGATACAGAAGTATATAAAATAGA